ATAGAAAGTCCACCCCATAAGGAAGTGATGTGATTAAGGTCATAAAATTCTAATATAGGTACAGAACATATAGCAATTATAGCATGCACCAGATTTCAATATGTATCAAGCCAAAGTATAGAAAATATTATGATGGCAGTACACTGATAATGGGTCTTCAGAGTAAAAATCACACAACAATTGCAATACTGCATAATACTCCCACCTAACAGAAGTAGAAAAGCAGAGAAAAATAAGACAGTGAAAGTTACCTTTTCTCAGGAACACTGTTACTCCTCTGATCATTAGGCAATGATGAAATTTGAGTTGAAGCCTTGGCATCTCTATCAGAATTCTGATTTACCCTGTTGTCTCTCACAACACGAAACTCCCGACTTACTCCAGCATCTAGAATAGAAAATTTGTCATTAACATTGAATTACAAGAAGGTAACTCTTGCCATAGATATACTCTCCAATCCTAAAGACAATTGTTCTGTTTAAAATTTTTATAAAATATGAAGTACAGTTAATAAGCAGAATGTAATCAATGGTGTGCCAACATAGTGGAAGCCTGGAAAGATGTTTAGGTGTTTAAGAATTTTTCAATGACAAAAAATGGTGGATAAAAAATTTAAACAAAAGTCAGTAATTATTGCGGGATGGAGTATTAGGTTCGTGTTCAGCTTTGTCAAACCAATCAGATGTTTGGTTTCAAAAAAAAAAAAAACAATCATATGTTTCTGCTGAGTAATTAATTTTTAATAATATTCTAATATTTATTACCACTGTCAGGAATCAATCCTAATAACACCAAAAAAATCATAAAGCACAATCTATGTAGCAATTAGGGCATACAATAAGTCAAACTCTAAACTTTTCACTTCTTGTAGATTGTGATTACTCATCAAATAACTACCACAATTGTTGGAAAGATGGGCAAATATGTGGGCCACACATCTATTCTCCTGTACTTTCCCAGAAGCACACTAAAACAATTTATAAAAAATAAAAATAAAAATAATAAAACTATTTGGAGGAAGACAATCACAATTTTAAAACAATTCCAAATTTTGAATCAAATCAGAGTCATCTTTAACTGAAAAATTTAATCTGCTCAAATCAACATTCATGCCTACCAAATAAAAGATGCATAATCAATTCAAGATTAATATTTTACATCACTGAGATCATTATTACTAGCACCCAAATGTCTATAATGGTTTCCATTAGGACTAAACAGGACAGAGACTGAAAAATATACAATATAAAGAAGAAGAATAAACTGGCTAGCCAAAATTCCAATTACCATTTACAGGATTCCTTCTGTAGCCCCCTCTATGAGCATTACGATTAGAACCATAAAATTTCAAGCCTTGACCTGTATGTTCAGTCCGCTTCCTGGGCTCAACATGACCATTGTAAACTGCATTCTGGGAAATAATACCACATATTTAGTATCACATTCTAAGTACTACATAGAAAGTATTAATTTAAACCCAATAAACAGTACACAAAGAGACTTTGACAATAAATCATAGACAATAACATAAATTTATATAATTGAAAATAAAAATAAATACATGAGTGTAAGGGTTACAAAGTGGCATTCTAAAAACATTAAGTCAAAATACAATTGAAAATTAATATCATATTGTGTATTATTCACACAAACTGAACAGTAGAAACGTATATATCCCGTATACTCTAGTGATCAGTATTTCCAGTTAAAAATGACAATCTATAGGCCTATAGCATACATAGCCACATCCAGAGGGTAACACATATCAATATATACTTGAATAAGTCACAAGCTCAACCTAAAATACTCAAAACAGCAGAAGCTATAGTCACAACCAGGTAAAAGGAGCATAGTCCTGAATTGTTACATGCCCTGCTCAGAGACAAGATAACAGTTTGCATACAAGGAATTTACAAAGAAACCCCAGCAAAGAGTATACATATATCAACAAGCAATTTAGGGTAACAACTAGCAGCAGCAATAATTTGAACAAATAATTTATTGGCTCGTTCACAAAATAAACAATAATGATAGGTATCACAAAAAAAAAAAATTTACCTCTTTCTTCTTCTCTCGTCTCCTTCTCACTTCATGAAAGGGATCTGCCACGTGAAAATCAATCGATTAAGACTGAGTAAGAGTGTGAATTTGATCATTATGAACATGTTAGATCGGCATTCAGCATACTATCTACTAACACACTAAAGCTTACCTACAACAAAATTAGATGGCTTATACAGTCCAGATAATCATTTACCCCAATCAACCTACATTTTGAAGCAAAATCCTCCCAGCTAAATGTTGCATAGACATGCATATCATTAAACCAATACTCTCCTCAAAACTGACACTAGACTTGCAATAACGAGAAATCGATACAAAAAATCAGAAACACTGTAGTCTAAACCCTCACAAGAATCACAACAATACTTGAATTATTCGAACTAATTCAGGGAATCTTGTGAAAACCAAAGATTATATGTCACTAGTCTTGCAATATATCCACCCATTCTGAAACTAGAGTGTAACATAATAATGCCTTATATCAACTCAAAAATCTAGCCTTAAGAGTAAGAAAATTACGGGGTCACATTCGACAAAAGTTGCCTCATTCCTCATAAATCTCAGTCTACTCCCCTTTGAGTAGAGAAGGGACATTATTTTTCTACCTTCTCGTTCCAATCTTCGAAAAGCACAGAGTAAAAACAAAAAAAGACAGACAAAATAAGCACACACAGTAAATACAGTACAACAATCATCAAAACTTACAAGATTTCATAAAATATAAGCTTAAAACTACAAAAACTTCATGATTACACCAACTAATTAAGCACCTTTTTAACATGCACTTCAAATTAGCAACTAAAACAGTAAAACCCCAGTTTCTAAACCCTTAAATTTCAAAACAATCAACAAAACAAAAACCCCAGAAAAACCCAGCAATGGGCAACAAAATCAACATCAAAAAACCCAAAAACATCAAAGAAAATATACCTTGGTTCAATAATTTTTGAGCAGTTTCATTAGGGTCCATATTACTTTCTTTGAGAGTGTTGTAAATTTCAGAATCAGAGTGATTACCCACAATTTCTTTGATCGATTGGATGGTTTTCTCCACATTAGCAGAAACAATTGCAGTCCCGCCTTCAGTCTTCAACATAGTAACCATATTTTTTCTGATTAAAACAGAAGAAACAAAAACCAAAAAAAACACGCAGAAAAACAGAAAAATCCCCAAATCTTAAAAATTAAGCCCTAAATTTACGTACAACGAAGAAGTAGAGTGAAAAACCCTGAGAAAAGAAAGAGGTAAAAAAAGGGTTTTAGGGTTTGCATTAGATGAAAGAGAAGGCGGAAGAAGAAGGGGAATGAAGAGAGAGAAAAAAAGAGGGAGAGGGAAGTTTTTTTGGGGGAGAGTAAGAGGAGAGAGAAACTGTTCTTTAAGGGTTTTGAAATTATTTTTGGCTTTATTTTAGGATGTCATTTTTTTCAAAAACTTTTTTTTATTTTTTATTTTTTCAAAAAAAAAAATTATTAATTTGGATCTTTTTTCCCAAGTTTTTACTTTGGGTTGCTGGGTTGGATTTGGAAGTGTTTGGGCTTTAAAATAAGGTTTTTTTTAAAAAAATTTATTATTGATTGTTATTTTATGCTATTTTGAGTCAACTACTAATTATTTATTTATTTTTTTTGTGTTTAGAGAGCCATAATGACGGGGGTGAGAATCGATCCCAGGATTTTCTGAAACCGGGAGGGAAGCTCGAACCACTTAAGTTATCCCTCACTCTCTGAGTCAACTACTAATTAAATCATAATTTTGTGGGTGCCTGCTACTATGTTTAGCTCTTTTTTCTTATGGTCATTTCCCACATTAAATGAGTATTTTGAGAGGCTTTTAAAGTAATAATGAATGGATTGGTTTATGATAAATTGGTGATGCTTTTGGTCATATTATTAATGACTTAATTCGTTTACACATTGCGAATATGGTAATAGTAAGTGGATAATATAGATATAAAGGGGGGAGGGGGGGGGAGTTAGCAAGAATTTTAATACAAAGTAAATAATATGAATATGACCTTTATATTTTGATTGTTGACCTTGTAACATTATAAGATACATGGTAAAACAAAAGGGTATGTCAATATGGGGTTAAACAACCAAGTTCATTATTGGTTGATCATATAACCTAAGCTTGAAGTGAATATGTTGTTTTGGTCAAATGGAAACAAAGTACTTCGTATATAAATAAATTACTATAAAGATGAAACTTGCCCTTTAAGAAATTCGGAGCAAGTGTTTGGTGAAAGCAATGTTAATTAATATGAGTTAATCTTGGAATGGTATAAATTGGAGTACTCAATATGAATTGAACTTCTCTTCTTGACAGTCTTAACAAGTATGCTAAACTACTTTAACAGTGTAACCAAGCAAAACTTGATTTAGTGAAAAGATTTGCAACTTTTAATCATGAGGTTGTAGGATTAAATCCTACCGAAGACACTTTAGAGTGGAGGTTCTCTTAACATGTTACACCAAATACAAGCCTTAACTATTTAGTTACACAATACGAGTCTTTACTAAAATCCAAAGAAAATTATCGAAGTCTTGCTTTGTCATTCATTAAGCATTTGCCAAATTGTGTTTGTTGACAAGTTGTGCTTTAACATAAAGGAGACAGACATTCCTATCAATCAGAGATGTTCATGTGTCCCTTACATTTCGTGTAATGGGGGGCGTTCAAAATTTCCAGTCAATTTCAACGAAGACTTGAACATGGACGACTTATACACATTATGATGAATGTCAACCATTAGATGTTGATAAACGTAAACTATACTCATATAATATATCGGCAGGAAAAAGAAAAAAAAAAATCATACTTATAATTGTCAATAGTCTCTTAATAGCATTATTTAATCCATATAATAGGATGATCAATTGTCGTTTTGATCCGAAGTACTTATAATCATTTATTTATATCACACGCTTTCTTCAAGTTAAGATGAACATCAAAGCTTGTTTAAAGTTTAGAAACAAGCTAGTAGTTTGGAACGAATTTTTAAGCCGAAACAAGGAGAATAATTACATGATGATGACTAAGGAACGACGTACACTAAGTATGGGAAGACTATTCAGCCATTTTTTCTTAGTACAAGTAGTAGTAGTTTCTGTGAATCTACTTCAGGTTTTTACAAGTCACTTCATACCAAAATATTTTTTTGTAAGTATCACCGAGCTCAGTTCATGAACATCTTCCTACCTAATGCTCCAACCAAACTTTAACTACATGGAAAATTCTATATTTAGAAATCTATATATAAACTGAAGGTAAAACTGAAAACTTTTGTTGTATGTGTGTTCAATATTCGCCATCATGGTCATTCTGCTTTGTTAGCTAAACCCTTGTACAGTTACTGGAAGATACGGAAAAATAAGTCTCTTACAGGGACTCAGCAAGTTAGGTGTCAGCCGAGATCACAAGTATTGTTCCTGGATCCTGGCCTTGTTCTCTTCCCACCACACTCTGGCATGCATTTCACCAAATCTCTCGCGACTGCATCAGGAATCAAAATGCTTCAAATCAGTGCATCATACAAACAATGGTATTATGTAGACCCTAAATAAATCCAATGCCAATAGTCATGGAGATTAAGATAATTAATGGTCAAGATGCAAAGGGAAGGAGGGTTATATCAGTTCTCCTTTACATCAGTAAACCTCTTAAGTAAAAACTTGATCCTTTATTCCAGGCTCTTTGCCCTTGTATAATTTTTTAACTTTAAGAGACCAGGATCCATAAGAATGTTGGTAGGTAGTTTCGTACTTGGTAATGATAAATCAAATATGGTAGTTCAGAATTTTAAATGAGATTCATGGTCCTTGGAATATAATAAAACTTAAGAAAATTAATACCACTTTACTAATTAAGCTCACCTGAATCTAACACGTCGAAGCTCCCGAGAGCCATTAGGCAATGCTCTGATAGTGATATAGACACCTGGTTCATCCTGCTCAACCCATTCAGTCTCAACATCACTGGCATTGCTGACAGAAAGTTCACCCGAGTGATCTACCTCTCTTGATAAGCTACTCCTAGCAGAAGCATCAACTGATGATGTCTCTGTTTTTGAAGCACTAATGTTAGATAGTTTAGGAGTTGAAGCAAGTCCATATGACTCATAGTATTGGCGAGCTCCATGCTGATCAAGTGAATCTGTAGAGGAATATGCCAGTCCTGTTGGACGGTGGAAGTTCCGAGGCAAACGTTCTTTGCTCAAAGGTGGTGTTGCCGGACTGCCCTGTGCAGATCCAATCTTGGAGCTCTGCAATAATGTCAAAATATCAAAGAAATCAAAATGATGATCATCATTATGTAGCTCAAACTCAAACAGGATCCTAGCTACGTCATAAAAGACACCATGAAACCAGTTACATACAGTGAGCCAAAACAAACAAGCCTTTTCTACTGTGTCTCAATCCTTTCTCCGAACAATAAAAAGTTAACTGTGGCAAAGATACAAGTAACAAGATCTCACCTCATCTTCAGACCTGGAGGGGGTTGCTGAGGGTACAGCTTGTTGATTGAATTTTTGAACATTATATAGTTCCATCACCTTGTCATAGTTCTCTGCCCACCATCTTTGAGCTTGCCACTTGTTAAAAAGCTCACGGCTGAAAAGGCATTATAAAAAATGGCATGAAGAAAGAAAGACAATGATTTTAACAAGCATAAGACAACAGCACTCTTAGTAAGTGTGTCAAGAAGCAAAAGAAAAAATAGCTTATTGTTGAGTTTTAATTTGTTGAAAAGCTTAAGGCAAAAGGACAAATAGGCAGAGCAGCGAGAATAGAAACATCACAATAAGTACTGTAATCAGAGAGTGTTATGTGGCAACTAATCAAAAGGTCATTGAGTAGTATTTCTCCTCTAACACAACAGGCTCAACCAGTACATTCATAGGGAGCACTCGTGAACTCAAGTGGACAACCACATCTGCAAGCAATACATCTTAAACACCTTCCATTGCTGGTTGAACAACCAGTACAGATTTCATCTTAGAAGAAAATACAACATCTTGTCTATGTTCCAACTCTTCTAAGGGTCCATTGAGCCAAATGAACATGGATATACCATATTCTCAGATATCTATGTGCACTTTAGTAAATTCTTGTAATTGATAAGATATTATTTGGCTTCTTAACTATTCGCCTTCATACTCAGCTGAAGAAACAGAACCAGTTTGCCATCAATTAAAATAGATAATGGACTTCCTTCAAAAGACAAAAGTCAAACAATTTTTTTTTTTAAAACTCTTAGTTTCATACAGTACTGTTTAGCTTATGATAACAATTGTTGTAGTACTATCTGCCACAAATTTATCAAGCAAAACAAAATGAGGTTAAATTTGTCACTTCCAGGGAAATTATCATCACAAATCATGAAAGACATACAACAACAAACTAATCAGCCAAAAAAAAAAAAAACTAACTTTTGCTTAAGATAAATGTTTATTCACAACTTTGGGATCTATTTGCTTCACGTATGTTGCTACTTGGATCTGTAGGGAATACTAGTTCCTCACAATCATGTTATATATCAAGTGGCTAACTAAATTCCACAAAAAACAAAAACAAAAAAGAAAAAAAAAGCAAGTTTTAAATCTAAACCAACGGGAAATGTTCACCTCCACATTTTGAATCTCTAAAGAATGTTTTCAGAAAATTTGTTAGTACATATGAGGTACTATACAAAAGCAATATACTATAACAATCTAATCTTTTCCAGTGGGGGAAAAAAAAACAATTCAACTCAATCATCTGATTGACCTAGTGATACTTCTAGTTGGCATGGATGATTAAGCAAAGCATATTGTAACATATAAGCCTCTATAGCACTAGCTGTAGGTCATTATACTCTTTAATATGCTTTGAGCATTAGCAATTCGTTTCACAAGCACATTTTTGCTGGAGACATGCAATGTTTAATCCCTCCAGTCAACAATAATAACATTAAATCTAGGAAATAGTCACATATTGTGATCTGCAGAGAAGCTAAAAAATTACCATAGTACAAAGCACTGTAATTTTCTGCCAATGACTAGGAACTTATTTTCCATGACACTCCCCCCCTCCCCCCCCCCCCCCCCAAAAAAAAAAAAAAAAAAAAAAAAAGTAAAAAAAAAATCCACAGCTGAAATGAATAGCCGAAATTAAGAGCCAAAAAAAATGTGCATAAGAGTGATGAGGGAAACTAAGGGAAAAAAAAAGTTTAGAATGAAAAGTGCATGGTCCATAATTAATAAAATGCAATCATTCTAGGTAGCACTTTAACAACATGTTAAAATCCACTTATGGCTTAATAAAAAGGCCCACAAACGCCCTGGTTTTGTGGTTAAAATTAAGCACCATCTCCCACATCCAATAACATAACTATTGCAGCACCCACTGCCTGATGGATATTATTAACCAAAAGAATGCAAACAACATATGATGAGGCCACATGTTTCCTAATCAATATATTAGACACTGGATTCCAGTGTCTCAGCCACTTCTATTGTACCAGTGACATGTAGGAGCAAGGAGCAAAATCTGTTGATCAACCAAGGTCATGAAACCCGATCACAAATTGCACCTATTAATAAACTCAAGAATCAAATGAAGGGGCAACCCAAAAGTTCTGCATCAAAAACAGTAACAACTCTCGAATAATCCACCAAACCCAATTAGTTACATCACTGTCAATGACCTTTAATTGAAACAATCATTATCTTTATCTTGAAGAGTCAATGATTCAACAAGTAGCCAATGGCCCAATACTAAACCTGACTATTGGTTCCGAAATTGACTCCCAAATCTAGCAATTCCATGATCCACAAGTGTATTGACAGCTTAAAGTTGGGAAATAAAAGATTTATTGCATAGTCGAAACCCATCATATAACATTATAACCGTCGAAACCCATCTAACTACAAAGTGACAGGTCAAATCACAGTATAACCCACATTCATATGAACTACAGTACTCAATAATAAATTAGACAAAACATAGTTTAGCACATAATGCAAGTTAATATAAAGATAATAGTATAAAACTCCAACTTAAATCACTATCATAAAAACAGACAAAACCCATTTCACTTCAATTATCCAGTTACTAACCCACCAAATAACAAATCAAAATCAAACAAACATCAACGACAACAACAAAGCCTTAGTCTTAAAATGATTTAAAGTCGGCTAACATGAAATCGAAACAACCACAATAACAAGATTAAAACATTTTATACCTAAACCGAATTCGCTTGAGATCATTACCACCTTGAGGCATAGAAACAAAAGTAATAAGAACACCAGGCTCCACTTGAGCAACCCACTCCTTAGGCTCATCCTCCTCCATAAACACCACTGATTCCGACCTCCCACTAATCGAAACCGGCGTCACCTCGCCACTCGAAAGCCCCATTCCCATCCCTACTCCCTTAACCCTCCCTCCCAATTCCTTCCCCCAATTCTTCACCGTTGATTCCCCCCTTTGATACCCACAATGAAATCTCCCTGAAGAAACAGACCCACCAATTGATTCCTCATAACTCTTCCTATTATTCTCTCTCCTACTTCCTGCACATGGCTTACAGTTCTTGTACGCCCCTGATGCCTTCAATGCCATCCCCTTAATCTGCCATTTTTATCAAATTTAATTTTATCAACATCAAATTAAAACTAACCAATTAAAATTGCTAAATAAATGGGTACATTAAATTGAAAATAAAAAAATGTATTTATGAATTCATCACTTACTTGAGTAGTGAGGGTTTTAATGGGTTGCTTTTTACTGGGTGTTGCGACAACATCATCGTCTTCGTCTTGTTGTTGAGGAGCAAGAGATCCGCCATTTAAATGCTTTGTACACGCTATACAAGTCAACATCTGGGTAATTTTTTTGGAGCAAACTCACAACAATGGCGGACAGAAAAAAATAATCCAACCCTTTTCGAATTAAAATGCAACTGTACTAAGAAGGAAAGAAAAAAGTTGGATAAGATTTAATTTTTTTTTTTTTTTTTTTTTACAAAGGATTAGTCACATCGAAGTTGTTGGGATTTTGAAGAGACAGAAAAAAAAAAAAGTTGGGAAAATTTGCAGAAACGTGGTTTACGCTTTCATTCACCACCTTCCCGCCGCCATTAATGGCGAAAATCAGATCGGAAGAAACTCCATTAATGGCGTAAATTGAAAATGAATGAGAAATCTGGTAAATTTGTTGTAAAGTGAAAGAGAAGGAGAGTGTGGGAAGGGAGTTGAGTTGAGATTCCCCAGAAAAAAAATGGACACTTTTTTCTCTCTCTTCCGGGAGAAGAGGAGAGAGAAAGGGGGGTGAAATGTGGAGATTTGAGAGGAATTGGATGTTGCCAAAGTGCTGAGTTGAAGGAGTATGATACTACTACTCCAAGTCTACAACTAGTACTGCTGTAATATCTTGGTCTTTGAGGCACTATTGGTTTGATTGTACAAGTAATTTAGAATTTATGCTTTTTTCACGGGATTTTTAATTAGTTTTACTTGAGATTAGTGGTGATTAACGGCAACTTGCAATTTTGCAAGCGATGGAGGACCGAATTCTATATTTGTTATATGCCCTTAAGACTTTATATAAGTACGGAGTAATAAATATATTTTTTAAAATGAAATTAAGTTAGAATTTTATTATAAAATTACATGTAAATCGGTGTAATTAATGTTAACTTATCCTTAATATTTACTCCATGCTTTTTTAGCTTCTTCAGCCCCTAGGGCTATGAATATCTTTAAAAAGTTTTTTTTTTTTATTGAACGGTTAAAAAAACTATCTTCGTGTTACTATATGGTAACAAAATCAAGATGAACGTTGACAAGAATTAGTATGTGGGTTCTACTTAGCTGATTTGGCTATTTTTTCGGCTATTTCAAAATCTGAGTATAAACTCCTAAGTCACGAAAACTGGAAATTATATTGACGCCAATGTTATTAAAATCGATATTTGAATCGTATAATCGTACAAATCTACGATCCTAATCCACCCAAATGGTGTAAATTGTCGGTACAATCGTTGTGTGGTAGAATCAGTGGAAACAGACCTATTCCATGATTCTATACCAATCCTAATGATTTCACTCATGCAAAAAGTCTGATTTTCCGACGCCCATAACTTTTTATTGTGAAGTCGTAATTTGGTTTATAATATATCGTTGGAAAGCTCTTCAAGTCTACTTTCTAATAGAATTAGTCTCGTACCCATATCATTTATATCTTCTATGTTATAGCCTAAAGAGTGTAAGGATGTCATAGTTGAGTCTAACTTTAGTTAGTGACTTATATATTATTCAGTATAAATCATAATTAAGTTTATGAAACATCAATTTAAAGAAATTTTAAAATTAAATTTAACCATTTAAATTTTTTGGGCAAAAGAATATATACATGACTACATGAGTCCTACGCACTCAACTTTGGGCATATAATAAACACTTTTATAACATAAAGTTTATTGTAATTGTCATTCTTTAGCTATGTGTTTGAAATGAATTAATTAACTTGACAGTTAGTATTCTATTATCATCAGATCTTTTATTAGGGGAAACCATTTTAGGAGACAACAACGTTGTTTTTTTCATATATAATTTAATAACAATTGTCTCGTACTCTTGTGATTAAGAATATGTACCAATATTCTGACTTTGTAGTGTACTGTTTGAGTTATGCAAAATTACTTCTAAAACTATTTTATGTTTGTATATTCAATATTATATTATCAACTATATATATATATATATATATATATATATATATATATATATATATATATATATATATATATATATATATATATATATATATAAAGTATTGTATAAGATTACTCTCATGAATAGTGTGATGTCAATTATACCCTTTAAAATATGTATTTATATTTATACCCTCATTGATATGTACAAGTTATTTTCAATGAATAGTGTTTGGAGAATATACCCTCGACAAATTTTATTTACTTTATTTCTCTCATTAATGTATATGCCTTGGTCATATTTTATACCTTTAAACAAAGTTATTTGCATATCAACAACTAAATTTGTGATTCACCCCAACCGAAATATATAATTTCCACATATGATTAGCTATGGCGTGCATCGCGCACGTTAACTTCCCTAATATATATTATAATTTCTCACGCAGTCACGCGTGGTGTATCATAGCGTCATTTAGAACATATTCATCTATCCATTCTTTAGAACGCACATAGCAATCCTTAGATTCTCAAATGTAGACTTGTCATGTCTATACATACCCGTAGTTGTCAAGATACTCATGAGGGTCACATGGAAGAGGGGTGCATATGTTGTGAAGCTAATTAATCCTAATTATATTTTTGGACCCACAAAAAAAAAAGACCCAAATTCCTTAAACCATATAAATAACGGTATATTTGTTAAAAATATATATTTAGAGATAATGGTATATATGTATATTATAATATATATAAGTGTATAGGATAAGTGGAAAACCCTAAGATGATGATTGAACATAGAAAAAGTGTTGTGGATCAATATTTGACCTTTTTAATTTGTGAAGGCCGACAAGTTCGCTTCCAATGTCCAACTATGTACTTGATCTTCTTTTATATTCGATGGTATGCATAAATTTTTGCCTCAATTTCTGGTCTCTTGTAATTCTTCTCTCAACCTAATCAACCACTCGTGTTTGTGGTCCTTAAAAGATTGTTGTAATAGTACATTAATTAATTTTAAACAGTCATAGAGAAAGCTATATGAATAAGTAACTATATGAATTCTTTTAGAGTTTTAGGACAAGCTTTAAAATCAATGTAAATATAATAAGATTTTAGGACAACCTTTATATTCAATATAAATATAATAAGAATAAGTCTACTTATCTTTAATGTGAGGGAGCTTGTGCTCAATGCTCATATGTGTATATCGGAGATATATGTAGATTTATATTAATGTCTTTTACCTTTTATTATATTACACGTATTATTTAAGTCTAAATATATACTTATTCAGTTTTTATGCTAGCTAAATGATATATGGATATTGAACATAATGAAGTTTAACATTAAATAGTGAATATGTGAGTTTCTTATCGTGCTATATATACATAGGAATGTTATAGGAGATCATGTAAAAAAAAAATCATATACTTATTTTCAGTTCAATTCAGTTCAGCTCTAATCAGTTCAGTTCAGTTCAGTTCAGTTTTATGCATTTTAATTTTTCAGTTCAGCTCCAACCAGTTCAGTTCAGTTCAGTTCAGCTCAAATCAGTTCAGTTCAGCTCAGTTCATTAAATATGAACAAGCCCTAAATAAATACAGGAGATTAGGATACATACTAAAATTACTAAATGTTGGAGAAAAGTTGTCACTAACCTATTGCTAAATAGTAAAACAATGACATATAATTTAAAATATACCGGTGGAAGACCTTTGATGGAAGTTTTTTTTTTTTTGGTCTCCAAAACTTTAATGCTATTTTATGCATCTACATACAAAAGTTGGGGGAGCAGAGACAAATTCGAAGGAGATGATGTTAAGTTTAGAGTTAGGACAATTCACAAAAAAAGTGTGATAAATCCATGCTTTATATTAGATGATTCGGGGTCCCCTCTATTCTTTTTAAGTAACTAAGTGAAGTATATGAAAAAGATGTACCCAAAGTTTTAGCATGCAACTCAACTTGATCTTGCAACTTGCATGTGCTAATCTCGACTTTTATACTTGTATGTCTTTATTACCATTATTTTGTAGGGGCAATTAACCGATTAGCTTAGTTCATAATTGAGTTTTTTGCTGTTGTTGTTGTTGTTGGTGTTTAGAGAACCACAAGGACAGATGATGATAAATAATCTCGATATCTCTTGGAATCAGGAGAAAAGTTCTAACCACTTGAGTTATCTCTCACTCTCTAATTGAGTTCATGGTTTTATAGTGTTTCTATACATCATTTGACTTTATACACTATTTTCCATGTTTGCAACTGAATAAGTAGATAAGTTATATACTTCACAATAGAGAGGTATTTGGGATACGTTAATACGTCACGCTAATAATTGGTTAAAATGATCCTTCATTCCATTCTTGGTCAAACAATTTTAAAATCAAGATATGTAGTTTTCTTATTTCGGGTCCCTCCATTTAAAATTTCATAAATCCCTTTTTAAAATTTATATTAATACCGTTTCTTTTTATTTGCTACAGTAAGATGAGCTAGCATAGAGTCATAGACTCATAAGCAAAATTTGTTTTTAAGTGTTGATTGAAGAGAGAAAAGTACGTAAATATGCACGTGATTAAATGACCTCGTCTTAAAAAGTAAAATAACATTTATTACATCTAATAATATGTATTTTTTTTTCATTATAAATATTACAAATAAAAAGAAACGAGATTTATTTAAGACCCTAATATTCAAAGTAAAACCGAATTGCACTATAGTGTTAAATCACATACCAAATATGAGTATGTAATATAAAGTCCCCCAAAGATAGAGTCCGCCAAAAAATATCCAAATCAAAAGGAAAGAAAGTAAGAAAGAAAAAATAGAAAGTGTAGAAGTTTGGAAGCTTTATAATATTGTTGAATAGAAGAACAAAAGGTAAGAGTTTAGGTTGCACGATGGGCAAATGATTAGAGTTGCAGTTGATAGAAGCATAAGCAGCACTTCCTTGCTTGGATCCCGGTGTAAAAACTACTCGTATAAAGTTTGCTCCATTTTTTATTTTTTTATTTTTTTTTGTTTTTTTTGTTTTTGGTTCTTCTTTTTTCCGGAGCCCATGGTTAAGAAATTTTGGACCCACTAAAATGGGCCCAACTTATATTATACGAGTACTTTCTTTTGTTTGTGCTCATCACATTACAAAAACAAAATCATTTATTTTTTTCTCACTTTATTTATGTCTTTTTCTTACAAACATATTTCTACTTTAGATGATCTTTATTTATTGTATTACAAATGTGGTATCTCGTATAAGGAACTAATAAACTAATACTTTGTATTATATGAAATATTCGATTTGAACAAACTTAAAAGAGCATTATATGTGTCAAAAAAAGAAGCGCATTATGGAGTACTCTCCTTTTTTTTTTTTTTGGGAACTGAGTGTCGCACTTTGATTAACATAGAGTTTTATGCGATTGATTTAAATTTGTTAAATCATTGTATTGTTGGAAAATTATAAAAAAAAGAATATAATAGCTAAATAATTAATACTTATTACATAGAGGTACTTAAATATGATTCGAGATTTTAATCGTGGTTTCACCTAATTTTTATTTTACAAAAATTGAATACACTTCAATATATATATATATATATATATATATATATATATATATATATATTTTAAAAAACCTATTAATTTATATTTTCATTTATTATTGTTATTATTATTAAAATAACAAAAACCTACAAATTCAATATTATTATTATTATTATTATTATCAATATTATTATTATTATTAACTCCTATAGATAGCCAAATAAAAGATTCGTTGATTTATAATTGTATTTGTTTTGTCTCCTTAGAAGTTCAGAACAGAATTACGAGTACC